TAGTCTAGTTTCAATAAACCAGCTTTTACAGCAAAATTGTAAAGATTTCGAAATTTTCGGAGTACTTTTTTTTTAGAAATTTTATTATTTTGAATAAATTCAGGTTAAATGAGAACTCCGAATTTTTCAGACTAATAAAATTTGCAATCTCTTGAACTCTTCTGATGCTTGGACAATGCATATGTTCTTTTGAATACATGAAAGATCTTCTATAAGAATTATTTATTTCGGAAAACCATCTGATTAAGGTTTCTGAAGCATCTGCAAATAGTTTTACATCTAACGGGTGATTTTTTTGAGGTTAGGATTTTCATGCATTAGTATTTGACAGATCACGTGGGATTTCAGACATGGTGTCAAAGAGAAAGATGCTCAGTATGCTTTGACATTTCATCATGAATAGACTTACTAACGAGCAACGCTTGCAAATCATTGAATTTTATTACCAAAATCAGTGTTCGGTTCGAAATGTGTTTCGCAAACCCAATTGCTGCGAACGGCGACGAATCGACATTTCACGGTCTTCAGCAACACTCTCAGAAACAGACGCAATATTCTCTTCTGTACGCACTGTACGCATTCGTGTGGTTGGTTTAATGTCCAATAAAGTAAACTGAGTGCGAAACTTGGTCACAATCGCATTAATTGTTTGCTCACTTGGTCGATTATGTAGACCATAAATCGGACGTAAAGCGAACCGAACACTGATTTTGGTAATAAAATTCAATGATTTGCAAGCGTTGCTCGTTAGTAAGTCTATTCATGATGAAATGTCAAAGCATACTGAGCATCTTTCTCTTTGACACCATGTCTGAAATCCCACGTGATCTGTCAAATACTAATGCATGAAAATCCTAACCTCAAAAAAATCACCCGTTACTTACACCAAAGCAGTCTGTCACTAAATTAGCTGACGCTCTAAAATTTATTCACCCGTCATTACCTAAACGCAGATTTTTTTTAGTAAAATTCCCATATCTTACTCAAAACTTTCGGACACCAAAACAATTCAGTTATTGCGAGTAGTAACCCCACTTGACACCATTTGACCGCTGACCTTGCCCATTCTCATGGAAATTGCTTAAGCAGGTCATAATAAAAATTAAACCTCCACATTTGCACGATATTTATGCACACAATTTTACATTTTTTCTTTGCAAAACAACTATATTAACAAATAAAAAACATCGTACGAACTTGCGTCAATACTGTATAGTACTAAGAAATACATATGTATGTACATTATGTGTGCTGTCTGAATGGAGACATGCCCATACACGCGCCATCATTTAAATACTCGTATAAACAGTCTAGCAAGCCGTCCGCCAGGCAAGCAGTGAGTGGTATTGTAGCGGCTAGTAGTGCTGAAGGCTTTTTTTTTTGGTGCTAAATGCAGTAGTTTGCCCCTCGCGACTAGCTTACTACTACAGCTGTGATGCTTGATATTTTGAATAAGAATGATTAAGTGGACGTGTGCTTGGTTACCACTCACATTCAGCTTGCTCAAGGTTATGTACCAAATGACACGCAGGCTATTGTGAGACTAAAAAAGTATGCTAGATATTGAAGAGAGAGAAAGCAAGAGAGAGAGGGGAAACAAAGTAATTGAGAAAAAATGTTGAAAAATTATTGCAAGAGATGGTGCCGAAAAAATATATTTATATTAAAAGACAAAAAAAAAATAAACTTGATTGTGTTACTTTGAGTTACTAAGGGGCAATTCCATTGTGACGTTGTGCACTGAAGTGCAAATTTTAGCCAAAACACTTAATTTTCGAGCGATTTTTTTTTTGTGTTGTAAAATACTAGTATATGAGCAAATCTCAGGAGTTGTTAAATTTTTTGACAAAAACGTGTTGGTTGAAAATGTAGGCACACTTATCTTAGAAAATGCATTATCTTCAATTTTGCGTAAAGAAAAAGATTACAACGCGAAAATGTATTTGAATGAAAGTTTGAAAAAATATACCTCCTAAAAAAAGTAAATATAACTACTCCTGCTCATATACCCATAGTTGCGTATGTAACGTATACGCCCCGTAGCACCATAAGCAGTCTACTAACATGTTTACTCACACGTCTCAACTTAAAAGTAATTAACGATTCGCGCGGAAGATTTTTACACAGTATTCGTTATGCACATACATATCGTCACTAGACACGAATAAAGGCGCGCTAGCGTTACGACGGTGCACAAAAAAAAATTTATGAAAAAATGCGCTTAAGAAAAACTTCGGCGAAGAAAGACTTGTAACCTAGTTGACCGCGAAGAAAGACCCGTAATCATAGATTTATGCTTGGCCAAGGATTGTCACTTCAGCATTATTCCCCAAAAACTATGTACGGAATGTACATACTATTACACCCGCAAACATAGTTGACCGCGAAAATAAGTTTACGCGTCCTTCTTCGCCGTCAAATATTTTAAGGCGTCTTTCTTCGCCGTAAACTTTCTCGCTGAAGTTTTTATTTTCGCGGTCAACTTTTAAGGTCGCGCCTTTATTCGTGTCTAGTGACCATATATATTACATTCGTTCGTTCGTCGGCTCGTTCCTTTTTGTCAGGAAGAACATTTGAGCCATTTTATGTTGTTACTTTAAAGTATCTTAAATTATTAATATAAAATCAAAAATCATAAAATTTCACAAATTTTAAAGCACCTGGGATATTTTGCATGCTACCATTTTTTCAATTTGGGGGCACACTAATGGAACTTCACAGATATGCTGTATTTGATGCCAACTTTGATTGCCTCTAATATGAGCATTCTATTTGAAAACTTCCCAAAGTTATCAAGAAGCAATTGCGATTTTTTGGAGTTACAATAAAACAAGTGGCCATTTCGGTTTTTTTCGCATAAATAACCGTTCGAAGACTAAAATTGTCCAAATAATTTTTTTTATTGTGCTTGTCTGGAACTCCATTAATTGAAATAAATGCACGAAGAACGTTTTAGCGTGTTCTGTTTTCTGTTGAGCTAAGGAAGTGACACTTAAAATAAAAAAACAACTTGTGAGATTTTCTCATGTACAGTGTAGGTCCTTTTGACTGCTGTAAAGTAAATTTGTATGAAGTAAAAGTCTCCATAAACACAAATAACAAAATAACATTCTTAAACAGATTAATAAAATGTAGATAGTAAAAATTACTACTCAAGTAGGAATAATTAAGGCATTTTAAAATTTATTTCGTGATTCTCCCATACATGGAATGACCCTTAGGAGTATTGAGAAAAATAAACCTGCTAACGTTCACTACCCTGCAAAAATCGTTGGACCATGTAGTCTATTTGTGGTAAATTGGAGTACTTACAAAAGTGTTCCTCTGTCATGCTGTAGCGGACCAACTCGTGTCTCTGCGCCAGCTTATTGTTTGTTATCCGATCACTGCTCGTGTTTTAACGAAACGTGATTGAAGTTGAGCATTTGAAAGCACATTTGCATGTCTGGCTGTAGCTGAACGTGTAGAGATGCTAGCTGTTAGTTCTTAGCTCTCAGCATGTTCGGGTTCGAATACCGTCAGAGGCAACATGTAATTTTTAATTTTTGTCTTGGTTTTTATTAATTTCGAAAAAGCATTTGAGAAGTGAAGAACAAAAGCGTGTACAAAAGAAAAAATATAACAACAATGCCATTGTTAATATGTCGGAGTAGTTTTGTGCTACTCTGATGTAATGCAGGGATGGAGTATATGGTCCTGCCCTAGGACATAGCAATGTTAATTGGACCATATTTTTTATATGAATTGTGGTTAATTTTGGAGTACTCCTTGGTCCTTAGGGAGTACTCTTTACACGCATGCATGGAGTAGTCGCGATTTTTGCAGGGTACGTTCAACGAGACCTTTGACGTGAAAAGCCCTTCGTGTGAACATGCCTACTGAATACATTTATAGAAGCATACGCTCATTTTAAAATAGATCATTTACCCCTCCGCCGTTGTAAGTACAACACCCTATTCGCCGCATCCAATTAAATGCTGACGTCAAATGTAAAAGGTCAGCAAGCTGCTAAGACAAATGTCACCATTGTAAATTTGTACAGATATAAAATTATACAAACATAAATGCATACATACATATGTATGTGCTTTTTCATTCATGTGTGGAAACATGATAGAATTTTTTTTAAGCTTAAGCAGGGATCACACGATTCGTACATTTGTACAGATTTGTACATTTTCACAGTTACATAGTGGTGTTGTTTGGAAAGTTGTTATTGAGCTGAACATATTATTTCTAGACAACCACACAAAATGTACATGACTGCCAAAATGTACAAATTTGTACAAATGTACAAATCGGGTGATCCCTGCTTTATACAATAAAGACTTATTACTAGAAACACTGAGCAACAGGTCCAGAGCTATGTATACATGTCAAATGTGGAACCAAACACTTCCGAATACATAATTGTCTGCTGAAAAAGAATATCTTAAAACTAACTAAGTATTTACTACTTTTCACTCGCTCGTTGGTTGGCCTAATATTGGGTATTTCGTACGACAGTTTCCCATTAAAATTTTATACATTTCTTCTGTTTTAGTTGATTTTCTAGGGAGAAAGTGTAACAAGAGAATAAAATAAGTTAATAGTAAAAAAAATATTTTTAACGCAAACTTTCTAAATATGAACGAAATCGGACCATAAATATTGGTTTACCAAATATTTCGACTCCTGCGCCACCTATCGGCAGAATTTTTTATGGAGGGTTTCCTTTTCATATAATTAATATACCTTCTTAATATGAACTAAATACTAAATGCGCATTAAATTATATTTCTTATTGCATTGACATTGGGTTTTGTGCCAACCGTAAAGTTTCAAGTTTCTCGGCCAACGAAAAGTTTATTAAAAGTTGATTACAAATGCTCGTGAAATATAAGAACTTTTGTTTACCTTTACGCTAATTTAAAATTTATATTTATGTTTTTATTTTTAACTTTTTAACCCCCTTAATTTACTATCCTAATCATTCTTTATCGTTTTGTATCTCGTTCTAGAATGTCCCGCCGCTATGGATGGCATGGAGCGCTTTGCGTGTCCCACACCCGATCTGCAGGGTCGGTATCGGTGCATAGACGATCATGTGCTATGCGATGGATTCATCGATTGTCCGGAGGGTGAGGATGAAGATCGGAGATCGTGTATGTTCTACAAAACGGTATGTTAATATTGTATCGACATACGTATAAGTATATGTATGCACGAATGAATTGTATCGACATACGTATAAGTATATGTATGCACGAATGAGTCGTACTTCTACTAGGAGACAAGCTTGACCGTTGTGAATAACCTCTATGACTGCCAGGAGGAGGAATATCCTTCTAACCGAAGTTATTCCATATTGTCTGTTGAACCATTTACTATCCCCGATGAAGGTGTCCAGCTGCGGTATTTATACATACGCCATCTCCCCCAAACTATTTAAAAAGCGTGATCCTAAATGTTTGCGAACTCTTGCCTAGAGAGATGGGCATTGGAGTAGGATGTGGTGAAACTATTCCTCTTCTTCCTCATCCCGACAACTTCTGCAACTTAAGTTTGTTAGTATACGTCATCGATGAAGCATTGGTAGTATAACGCAGTGCTCTGTGGTAACGGCGCGCCGGTAAGAGATCTTACTGCAAATTTTTACCGTCAATAATGCTTCAGGACGACTCTTATTGAGTTTCGGCCGAAAGGATCTTGAGATATCTCAGTCGGCTGTGATGTATTCATAAATCCGCCTTGTAGATGAGAAACCGGTGGTATGTAGTAGGGAGTTATTCGCTTCACTAATTTGCATTTACGAGCCGTGTTTCATCGGCTATTTCATTCCCTTCGATACTTTTATGTCCAGGAATCCAGTAGAGAGAGATTTTGGCGTGACTCAGTGAAGCCATATATGTACGACAATTCCGAACTAACTTCGTAGTATCTTGGAACCTAACGTTTCCAATCCCGCCTGGCTGTGAAGGAATATAGTGACGTTCCCGCTTTCTATATGGCAAAGATCTCCGCCTGAAAGACACAGAAATTACTAGGCAGGCGATATATTTGACCTATATGTAGGTCCTTGTAGCGTAGATCCGAGCCGACTTTTTTTTACAGCCTTGAGCCATCGATGTAGATGGAATTACTATCATCCTAGTTGGAAAATGTATGGAACAAAAGACTAGAATCCCAGGGTGACGTGAGTTAATTAGTTTCGACATCTAAGGCGGCATTGATTCCGTTACGCCGTCCACTATTATTTACATTCAGTACTGCCGTGCGATCGTTCGTTAATTTTGATTCCTTTAGTCTATGGAAAGAAAACATTTTTATTTTAAAATAAAGTTTGGACTAGCCCATTATTCGTTGAAAACTATAACATTGAAATGGAAAAACTAAATCCAAAGTCGTTAAATTGCATGATATTGCTGGCAAAGCCACTTCCCGGAAACTACACATTCTGCGAATTTCTCGCGCCGTAGAGCTTTAACTGGCCGCGATGTAAGGCATATAGCTCCCCAACTGGTTGAAACCACATTTTGTGCATTTGAATGTTTTCAATTTCAAAAAAAAAAATTAAAATTATTAATCATGGCGCAATTGCACCGGTAATGGCCGATTACTGCAGCTTCTTCGTAGTTCTCGAATAAGTACGGACAAAGTATGCTACCGCTCCACAATGAACTGTCTCTAAGCAGTCACTTGCGGCTACTTATTTCACCTTATTCTTTTTCTTATTTGGAACCATATCAGTTTATCGGTTTGGGCCGAGACCAAGAAGCTTCGCCAGTTGCCCCTCTCCTTTGCAGTTTTGTGTCAGTTTTTCATCCTAAGTGCGGGCGGGTCCTTCTGCATTTGGTCCTTCCATTGTTTTCGTGGGCCTTTGCTTTCGTCGTCCGCCCAAGCGTGCGGAGTATAAGGATATTTTCTCCGAAGAGTCGTCCTCCTGGTACAGTTCGTTATTCCATCTTCTTTCATCAAAGTCACCAATTTTCGTTATTATTATGGCTCTCAAGCGTGTAATTGACCTTATCACTAAAGAAGCTTTGGCAAATACTACATAGAAGGGCCTTTCCAAGCGTGAATTAGATAATACGTTAGGTAGAAAATGTTTAGATACATTTTCACGAAACTCAATTAAGGGTGCAGGATAGTAAGTTATGACTATAACAATGCAATGTGAGGCTACTCGGAAATACTCCGAAAAGGAGTTCATATTTAAATTTTTACCAAAGTCAAATAAACGTATAGTGTAGTAAGTTGTGATTGTAATTATTCGATAAATGGCTATTCCGAAATACTCCGAAAAAAGTTAATATTTTAATTCATATGAAGTTCCATTAAAGGCATGGGGTACCTAGTAAATTACGAGTATAGAAATGCGATTTAAAGTTACTCCGAAATACTCCAAAAAAAAATATTCCCTCTAAGTGCACAATTCAATGAGAAGTGTAGGGTGATCAATTCTGATTGTGACAACATGATTTGCTGGTATTCCGAAAATGTTCAGAAAAACCTTGTAGTTATTTTGTTATGCAATCTTATCCTTCTTATCGTCGGTGCTACTGCAAAACGGTCTATGTCTATTAGTACCCTTGAAACTTGAATGGTTTCTTACTTCTTACGTGCGATCAGATACAGATAACACATCAAGTTTTCCTATTTTTTACAAAGTTGTACATTTAAGTAATTTTAATTATTACCTACTAAATACGATGTTTTCTCCTTGTGCTTTTTACAGGTTAAAGCCCATCTTGATGTGTTAGCGGATGCGTTACTGCGTTGGGCGCGAGGGCGTTAAACAATAACAACAACCACCACACATATTGTACAACAAAATAACACAACATAACTCTCGCCTTCCTATGCATTAATGCAAACAAAACAAAAACACACTTACGAAAGCAACACGAATATACAGCTAAACAGCATAAACAAACATCCAAAGAAAACTCGAAAAAAAATACACAATAACGATCATCACCACCGCATATGAATAATTAAAAAACAATGATCAAAGAACAGCCCGAATTTCGTAAAAAAAAATAATTATTCCTGCAAAAATCATTCCAAACAAATGAATCAGTGCTGAAGTGAACAAATGAAAAGGTCTGATGAGCACATTCACTTACTAACCACACACACATAGAGACACCTGCATACATACATACACCACAAATGGCAACCTAAATGTGAGAACTGAAGAGTAAAGATGCGAACGAAGAATCAGTGGGGAAGGGCGCATGCAGGAATGGACGTAAAGAACAAAAAAGTAGTATTGTTTGTAAAAAGCTGTCATAAGTATGTAAAAGTATTTAAATAATAGGCAAATAGCGAAAAAAACTAATTAAAGAAAACAAACATTCAAAACCCCAAAATGAAACTGACCATACAAGCATGTAAATTACAAAAAAAGATAACAGACATTCATTGTGTGTTTAAAAAAAAGTATGCAAATAGTACCACAAAAGAGAGAAAACGACAACTGACAAACATACATATTTACAAATATGTTTGTAGACAACGTTTATTCAACTAATAAAAAAATTAATAAAAAAAGCAAGTGGACTAAAAGAAAACCTAATGTTATGCATATGAATTATGATTAAACTTATGATTACTTATTACTTAAATAATGTTTATAAATTACTGATTACTGATTACTGATTACTGATTATTAATTATTATGATTATTAAAATTATTATAAAGTAAACTATTATTAAAAATTATTACAAAACAAAAACAGAGCTACTATTATTAATATTAAAACCTAAACCAGATATTATACAAAAACAAAAAAAAACACAAAGCGTATATACATACATACATACAGAGATACATAGAGCATAACTGATAAATTAATGGTAAAATGTGTTTAACATTAATGTAATTACTAAAATTAATAATTGTAAAAAGAGTGTTAGGACAAAAATCATATGTAAAATTAAATAAAAAATCAATTAACGAAATATGTACTAATATATGAAACGAAACGCAGATAACCAAAAAGCAGCTGGGTGTGAATTGCATTGCGCTCTAGCATAACAAACAAATCGTTTACCCACCCCCAAAGTCATGGATCTCGGTAGTAGCAAATATTGAAGAGATGAAAGGTGTAATACTAATTGGCTTAGCGAGAAAATTAAAAAAAAAAATGCGTTGAATTTGTGGCGAAGATATGAAAACTCATTTCTCCGAAAAAACCTAGAAAGACTTAAAAAAATTCGGAATTTTCGCCGCACGATTTGCAAAGCAAATTTTTCGTTTATTAAAAAAAAAAATTTTTTTTACCGAAAGTTGTGATTCGGAATTCTCCTGCAAATGGTGATGAAACTCCGAAATTTCCGAATTCTCTCGCTTGTTGTGCAAATTATATTTTTTTATTACTTTAAACAAAAGTAAATTTTTTTAAAGAAATGTACGTTCCCGAAAGACTCCTAAAACTTTAGAGTCTTCTCGCAAGTTCTGCAAAGCATATTTTAGTTGAAAAAAATTTGTTAACAGAAATTTGTGATTCGGAATTTTCTTGCTAACGTTGAAAAAACTCCGAAATTTTCCGAACTCTCCCGCTAGTTGTGCAAATTCTATTTTTTAATTACTTTAAACCAATTTTTTTTTTTTTTAAGAAATACAATGTTGCGAAATTCTTTTGCAAGTTTTGAAATAAATTCCAGAAAAATTCTGAAGGATACTGAAAATTTCAAAACTTTACAGATAGGTTTGCAAAGAAAAGTTTTGATTCGTGTCATCTCTTTTGCAAGTGTCGAAAATACTCCGAAATTTTCCGCCAAAAATGTATTAGCCTTTTAAAGAAATATACGTATACAAAACACTTCGAAAACTTCGGAATTTTCTCGCAAGTTTTACAAAGCATAATTTTTATTTAGTTAGAACAAAATAGTTATTTTTAACAAAAATGTATTATTCGGATTGCTATTGCATGTGTTGTATAACCTTCGAAATTTTCCGATCTCTCTCTTGTTTTGTCATTTTTTTTAAATTACTTTAAACAAAATTTAAATTTTTTAAAGAAATATAAGTTTCCGAGTTCACCTGCAAGTGTTAGATTAAACTCCGAAAGACTCCGAAATTTTCAAAACACTTTAGCATATTTTGCTAAGCATATTTTTAAATTCCTTCAATTCCGTTTCGATCAAAAATGATTCTAAAAGAATTATCTATTTCATTACATATTTACTCTAATCAGGCACACTCATAATAAGCTGGAGGTATTTCAAAAGCCTTCCTTTCGTTCTATTTAAGAATATTTTCTGTGTATGTACCTTTGTATGTACGTGTGTACCTGAGGTACGTAAACTGAAACAAAATAAGAACTTTTCGCAATAACTCAAAATTTTTAAGAAATTTCCGAAAGTAGTTTGAATAAAAAATTAAAATTGTACACTAAATATGTTAGCTTAACTATTCCCTAAATGTTGTTAAATTTTTCGTCTTTATTCAAAATATTAACGTACATAACATTTCGAACAACTCCTGGAAATTCGGAAAATTTCCGAAATTTGTATAGTTTTATATTTTTGTTTAAATTAAAAAAATATTGCATTTTGACCTTTTCTTAGGCATTTTCCACTAAAAAAAAATCATAGTCATTGCGAAATATTCCAATTTTTCTTCACACTAAATTAAAAGTATTTCCTGCATTTTCAACGCGTTTCCTATAATCTACGTGCATCTCTTCCAGCTGTAAATATGTATGCATGTATAACACCACCACTAGATTCATGACTTGTGCTCTAGCGAAATGCATGTTCACACTGAAAATTAAAACAAACAAACAAAAAATGCATACATACATACACGTGTATGTATATAAATAAATGAAACGTGTAAAAATGAAGAAAACAAATTGTTAGCATTGCAGGTGTTATTCTATATACATGTATACATAAATAATCTAATATACATACATATATACATATTATATACACATACACATAAAACAGCATAAGTACATACATCTATGCTACATGCGAGTATATAGATGAAAATGAACATGATGAAATGTATATAAATATATATGTATTAAGATAAAAACTAAAAAATATAAATAGTATGAACTGTATGTGCAATGGCATTATAATAAGCAAATAATTATAACAACTGAACTAACTGAAGTATGAGAAATAAATCAAGTTCAATAATGCAAAAACGAAAAAGAAGAAAACTTAACAAAAACAAAAACAATTATATGAAAGACTAAATATTACTAAAAGTTATAAGAAAATCAATCTAATGAAAACTATGTTTAAAAAAAAAATTATTAAAAAGGTACTAAAAACTCTAATACAAACATTTTCATCTCTGATTTGCAAATACTTAATTACGCATTGCAAGTTTTCTTGGTTTTCAAATTTCAAAACTAAAATTGTTTATCTCTTTTGTTTTGAAAATTTGTTATACTCAATTTAATGCACATCTAAAGCGAGTTTTTGGAGTTTTTAAATGACGTAGTTGTCTAGAGACTTTGTAACTCTTCATTCGTTTTGGTTAGTTTGAAACTCTTTTTAAAGTCACTTGTATGTTGTTTTCAAATTAAAATCGTTAAAGTAAAAAAAGTATGTGATTAACAATTTGTAACATTTATCGACTGGAGTATTTGTAGTGTACATACATACATATGTGCATACATACAAAAGTGTGCATAGTTTAATGATACTTTAATTTCAATATGTGGTAGTACACTCTTCCTCTTAGGTGATGCCTGAAAGTATGCAATATGTTGCAAAAATGTATGGGATTGCAGAAGACACTGAAAAGTTTAGTTGCCGAAAATCACTAGATGAATAGCTGGTGTGTGCTACAGGGTTGATTTTGTGTGTACATTTTAAGTACCTTTTTCGGCACTTTTTATAATATTTTTATTGTAAAATTTATTGGTAAATAGCAATTTTAGAGGTAACAATATAATTATTTTCTTCAATTGAGTTAAACCTGAAATAATAATTTCGTTGCGGAACGCTACGACCTAAAAATCGTTGGTTAGATTCATAATGCGGGACAATTTGTGAATGCCTGCTTTAGGTCGGCCAGACAGACAAAGACGTGGTGACGAAATGAACGTCTTCTCCCCCACGAAAGGACAGGGCAGTGACAGAGGTAATGTTCAACACTCTCGAATTCGCCCACATCGCAGCCACTACGGTAGAAGTCATTGACCAGCAAACCCATTCTACAAGCTTGCCTTCCCATTAAGCAGTGGTCCGTAATATTACCGGTAACCAGCCTTAGTAGAGCGCATTCTAACCGACTGAGTGCGTTGGATCTTTTCTTGCCCAGGCTGGGCCGGATTTGTCTAGTCGTCGGGTTCCTCCGACTATCTATTATTTGCCTTCTGGGCGAAATATGTCTTGAGCCATGTCAAGAGAAAATTTGACATCAGACAGGGTGGTTCCCTTCCCCGCATGCTCGTCCGCTGCGCAATTGCCTCGAATGTCGCTGTGGCCTGGCATCCACACAAAGTGAGTAGTAGACTTTGAACCTAAATCATTGCAGACTTTAATAAATTCTATGGAATGAGTTCATATTTGGAATAGCAGTTTTCGTAGGGTTTTTGGCATAAGCCACATCTTTGAGTTCAGACCCTAAGTCCTATCAAAACTTCTTCTAGAGCCGCGCGTGATCCGTCTAGCTTTCCCAACAGCCTTATACAATTTTGTACTAAGCAAGAGTATCATATATTAGACCTAGTAAGAATATTCGCGAACAGTATTAAGAACTCGTAAAAAACTACGTATTTTTTTCGAGGCTCTCATTGGCAGAACAGTTTAACACCAAACGAAAACCTGCAGCTAAAAGCGTTGAAGCAATTCTGTCCAATTGTTCCGCATTTTCATATTCATATAGCCTATCTTAAAGCTGGTGCAACACGACCAAGTCAAAAGGGAACATAAACATTCCTAATGTTGAAAAAATGTTGCATTCACGAAGCATACTGCCTTCTTACGTACGTTGAAATAAGACTAACCCTGGGATTCAGTAATTCAGTCTCATCTCAAGTCACCAAATTTGAGATTAGCAGTTAGTGAATATTTTTGTGACTTGAGATTATTTGGCTATTCAGTAGGAGAGAGTCACGAAAAGTTCACCAAAAAAGGGTGGTGAAAACAAACACGGATAGTCAACTGATGGAGTTTACGTATGCCTTTTGCTGCGTTGCACGAAGAGTCGCAGTGGCCGAGTTGTCAAAGCATTATGCTGCCAGTCGAGAGGGTCCGGGTTCGAGTACTCCTCGGGCAGATTATTTATAATTATTTAACTTTTTCTCCATATTTTTATTTTTGAGACCTGCTCTTAGCCAGCTGACAAATTAGTGACTTTTTTTTAGACTAGAGACGTGAGACAGCGTACTGAATACCAAAATCCAAGTTCACCACCAAAAGTCACTATTAGTCCGTTTTAATACATTAGTCGGGTGGAAAAACTAGGCAGTGCCATGCAATTTTCGATACGACT